GGTTCTTTGTTTAAAATAATTAATTTGGCCTCCCACGAGGGCGCCTGGCTAAACCTGGGTAGGGGTCATTCCCAGGCTGCGGCGGGCATCGCAAGCAAGGGCAGAGCTTTAAAAACAAATGCACAGGCCCAGCTCCCGCCTCCCCAAAGAGTCTGATTCAGAACGCTGGGGTAGGGCTCCGGGCACCTGTATTTTAAGCAAAATGTTTCTAAGGCGTAATTACATTTGGGGGGGGGGAAGACTAGAAACAAAATGACTGTTGCCCAGCCAACTTGGCCCTGGGTGTGAATCGTTGAGATGCTTTGGAAGAAAGATCTTTTCCCCAGATACCCCATCTCTAGGGAAAGGGGGGGGGGGGTCTGGATAAGCAACACTTTTAGCTAACAACCCAGGGTTTGGTTTGGTTTGGTTTTTTTCAATGAGTCATGCTGGACAATCAAAAAGTTTAAATATTATTTATACAAACACCAGCAGAAGAAATAGTGTTACAAATGTAACTAAAACCCTTCTACCCCTCCCCAACTTCCCCCCACCACCCCAAAGTAACTGCTTTCCTGGATGTGGTGTGCATCTCTCCCATGCACAGCTTTGTACTTCTTACTCCATATGTCTGTAGCCATAAACAGTATATAGTGCGGTTTCACATGTTTTTAAAACTTTATGTTAATGGCAGCGTGCCCTACAGAGCCTTCTGCGACTTATCTTTTTTTTTCCCCCTTAGCATTATGTTTTTGAGATTCATCCATCAGGGGGAAGTTTGCCATGCTCAGGCCTCTTAGAAGCTAGTTTTGGGTTTTTCCGAGGGAGGACCCCAGCCAGCCAGCGGGGGTGAGGGTAAGAGCTGGGTTCCTGTGTGTGTGTGTGTGTGTGTGTGTGTGTGTGTGTGTGTGTGACAGGAAGGACTCTGAGCATCAGACCCTCCATGACAGTAATGAATGACGAAGTGCGGGTTCAGTGAATTCCTATCAAACCCTTTTCCTAAGCACCTGAGGCCCAGTCATTTTCCAGAAAATGACTCTGGCCTGAAGTCCTGTTTGGGTGGCGATGTCGAGAAATTAGCAGTGGGCAGATGTGGAAGTGGAACTGTACAGTGATGGATTACCCAAAAGGCAGATTAAACATGTGTTCAGGCCCCCTACCTAAGGTTGTCAGATAACATGTAAACTTGGATTTAACAGGAGGGAGCTGAGGGGCATCCTGCATATTTGCAATCCTAAACCTATACCGATTTTTGAAAACGAATTTCACATTTTAAAAGAAATCAGGAAAAATCAGAACTCGAGGCTTCCGTGTACCTCATTATCTCCCCCGACCCCAGGGCAAAGCGCTGACACAGTCCCCCTACCACAAATTATGCAGTCGAGTTTCCCACAGTTGGGGAAATTGTGATGGAAAAGTCTCATCTTCATGATCATGGTATCTCTCCTGCCAAGTTATCTTTTTCAGTGCTTTCCTTATTAGCATTACTTTGGGGAATGCACCCCACCATCTTCAGCCTCTGAAGGATCTAGACCAGTCCCCCTGGAGGGGGTGGGAGGGTCAAATTTAGTGCACTTAAGAATTCCCTGGGGAGCTTATTTTATTTAAAAGCTGCCTCTGGGAGGAAGAGGACCCACCTGGCTTCCCTAACTTCCAAGACTGTCCGCCCGGCGTAGACAAGATGCTTCAGGACAGGCCTGGGAGGGAGCGGGGGTGGGGCGGGATGGAGGGGATTTGGTCTTTAAGTGAAAGGCGCCTCTAAGATACGGCTTCTCTATCCTGGATGCATGATGGAATCAGCCAGGGAGCTTTACAAACTACTGATGCCCAAGCCCCACCCCTAAGGATTCTGGCTGAATCGGCCTAGGGTGAGGACTGACTTCCCGGCTTTTTGAAGTTCCGCAGGGACTTCTAATAGTGCTGTGGGAGCGGCTCCTCCCCTGGATTTCAATGAAAAGGGGTGGGCTACACTGATGGTGGTCAAACTTGGCGTTATGTTAGAATCACCTGGTGAGCTTCAGAAAATGGCGATCCCAGGTCCCAACCCCAGAGACTGTGTGTGGCTCGGATTTCAGAGGTTTTAACAGAACCCCAGGTAATTGTGATCTGAATGCGAGTTCGAGAATCTCAGGTTTACCAGGTGGTGCGGGGGCCAGGTGCAGTGAGTACTGCATGCCACTGGGTGGCGCTGCCCGCTCGGTCCCGTGCTCTGGGAGGCGC